TCGAATATTCGGAACTACTTTATACGGTCTCTCTCTCTAGTCTCTCTCTTTACATATATACATTATATATAATATAAATGTAAGGAATTTGAGACTTTGGCGATTTTCTCATGTCTTAGGCTTAGAACGATAGATTTGAATTTTAGAAAGTATAGAACGAAACCTAGGTTAAAACCAATAAATGTATTTATTTAAAATACGTAAACTTAGTTTTAACTTTATACCGAAACATTTAATGACAACGAATTAACATGACTTAAATATTTAAAATAAATATTATGAACACATCTACCACGACTTCTCCACAGACGCGAGCGTCCATACTCCATACGACCCACTCCATATAACCCCGTTTAGGTTTTTACTATGTTGAAAAAAAAATTAGATTTGAATGCATTATTCTGACAGTATAATAGAACTATAATGCATTGTACAACCTAGCTTGTAGATAAAGATAGGTATATCTACTATGAGCCTAGTATTCTATCAACTATTTGTTTACCATTAAATTAAATATACTAAACAACATATTATATAACTTATTATAATAGCAATTATCGTTAAAATAAAAACTGAGAAAAACAAATGACATTGTATAAATTTAATTTAATTGCTATTGAGACGCTATTGATAAAGATTTAAACATAGATAGAGTTTATTAAATATGTCTAAATAATATAGATTATAATAACAAGTCTGTATAATATTATTACAATTGCTTTATAAAAAATAAATAATTCATTAAAATAACATGATAGTTGATCGATTTTAGTATTTTACCATGTATCAAGTGTTTAAAATTATTTTGTTATTTTATGGAAAACAGCTGTCAAGCCATCTATACAAGTTCCAATCTAGTATGAAACTTTTTCAGCTCTTTAGTCTATTACACGAAATAACGAAGCTTCTTCTATTTTAGGCTTCATAAATAATTGTAGTTGTAAATACTTTAACAATCCTTTAACGTTAAAATCACTATACTCCTTTTTGTCAAGTAATTATTCGACTATGGATCTACTATATTTGGTCCCCACAATCAGTTGGTATTATAAAAGCTATTGATTCAATTCAAAACCGTTTTTAACGAACCAAACAATTCTGATATGATATCAAGCGTCTCCCTCACTCATCATATTATCAGCCGATAATATCATACTTATTAAGACTAAAAACGCTCGATAGTAGAAGGAAAATATTAGATTTATGATTTATATTTAAATTAACTGATGAGGATATTAATTACCGAAAATGCCTTTCTTTATTGAACTTTACGTTGCAAATCGCAGAACTAGACAGTGGAATACTTTGTATGTATCACTCCAGTGTTCGAAATATGGTCAAAATACCCCTAAAATAGATTAATGCCGCTTGTAAACTTACAATTTAAATGTTGATCTGTTTTCTCGTGTCTCAATAAACGATTTTAAATTTTAATTATTACCCAAATAGTTTTTTGGCTGGATAATCATTACATTCTTCTTCAAGTTATGCCATAAGTTTTAATTAAGTTTTCATTGTTATATATTTTTAATAATTTTCTTTTAGTGAATTATTTTGATTGTAAATGTACACAAAATCACATAATAATATATTATACCTAAACCTATTTAAACACTGATTATATTATTATTTGTTACTTCGTGTATTATCTTCAAGATTAATATTTATAGTCACTGTAATATAAAAATATTATGGTAAATTCTAAACATACGCCTATACTTGTAACTGGGCCCATTTGAATATAGAAATACAAGCATAAATTAACATATTCCAAAAGAGTTGTATAAACGATTTTTAAAAATGCCAAATTCTACAAAAAGGAAATAATAATTATTGTACATATATTATATCGATTTTTTTGTCTTTTGAACAAATTAAGTTAGATTAAAGTCCCTTCAGGTTTTTAAAAAAAATTAAATTAATTATCACTTTAGGCTTTATTATTAAAAGAACATACCATTTTAATAAACATTTTATTATGCTCTTAAAGCATCCAAATTGTATTAAATAATTTAATATTGTGTAACTAATTTATAAAACTTGAGTAACGATTTTTAGTGTACCGTATATAAAGGATAACGAAACGAAATCATATTATATTAACATTAACACATTTTGTTTAATATTATTTAATATTTATTTTCTACACTTGGCGGGAGTGTCATATACTAATACATAAGTACTTCTGAATAATAAAAATACTTATTAATATTATGATATAACGTCTAGATAATGATTAAAAAATATTTATTTAAGATTTAATCTATATACATTTTGGTATCCTAAAATATATCACGATTATTAAAATATCATTTCAGTGAATAAAATGTTTACTAATATATTAATGTTGAAACACTTATAGCTTAATTCATAAAAAAATGTAATTAATTTAAAGTTAGATTTAATGTAATAATTTATATTTTATATGTAATTATGTTCCATCATTTATTTATTATAGTGTTATATAAGTGTTATATATTTATATAGTGATTATAGTTCTTACAAAGGAAATCAAAAACTCTAAACCTATCAAGAGTATACAAACTTTTAAGTGGGTTTGTTTTTCTTCTAAAATATTTGTTCAGATATTATGAGTACGTTTTTATGAATACGAGAGTCTTTGGAATTTGCTGGAGATCATTATAAATATATTTTTCTGGGAACAAGTGGAAGTGGTTAAAACTTTCAAAGTTTCGTTAAATTGATTTACTTACCCTACAAGAAATTATTTATTTTGATAATTTATTAAGAGTTAACAAAACTAAAGTAGTATCGGTCTTACACGTGACGAATTTACTGTACAATTACACGTTTTATAATAATAGTGGGTATCACTAATACTTTACCCTCGATTAAATTTAATCTATACCGATCTTCACAGCTGCATGTTACGTTTTTAGTCATAATTAAAATATTTTTACACTATTTAAGATAAAAACTACCATATGATTCTTTGGTCAGTGAGACTAAACTATTTTTGAAAAAATAACCAAACTAGTCTGCCCGGACACAAATGAACAGGTATATAAAGGTACATACTAGCTAGTAGCTAGTACGGTACCTTTTTTTTTAAATAATCGACGATTAACAAGTTTATAAATTACAAAGAATAAAAAACATTGTTGTTATCATATAAAACAACATTGTGTTCAAGTAATCGACGAATATATAATATACTATACAGCCATATGTAAGTATTACCGATGTTAATAGGTAAATGTACAATTCCCTCGAGCCCATTTTCAGTTAATTAGAATATTTCCACTGAGTACATATTTTGGGGCGAACATTTCCTCAATGTTTTTAAAAATATAGTTAAATATTGAAATATTATATTTACTTTAGTGTGTAATAAAAAAAAAAACAGAATACCTAAATGACCAAATATTTCCATAGATATATGATTGCATAATATGATATGATGCACCTGTATTTCAATGTCGATTGATCTCACTGTCTATATTTGAACGTAAGAAAAGTAAAAAGTAAAAAGTACTATTGTACAAAAAAATATTAATTATACTTAAAACAAACTAATTTAAAACATAATTTAAAAGAAATATAATAATTAAAAGATTTTGTAAATAAAATATGATTAATAATTAATTTTAAAAAAAAAATGTATGCGTAAAACTAAATTAATTTTTGAAATCTGAGCTTATTCCTAAGTACTTAATATTTTTATTATATAACTCGAGTGTAAAATGACGGCCTTAAAACGATTACCGGCAGAAAATGTCCTACACCAGAAATCAGTATATACAACCGAAAAATGGTGTTATATTGTAACATTTGTCCTATATTCAGATATTTAATAATAAAATAATTCACTTTGATTAGCAGTTATATTTTACATGACGATAATTTAAAACGTACCTCTACAAGATAAAAAAAATATTACATTTTAAAATTTCGTCAACCCCCGATTAAGATGTTTTAAAAGTCCATCGTGCCCTGAATTTTATGGTACTTATTTATGTATTTATGACAGGTACACTTTGAAAAACTTTTTTTAAAATTTATTTCACAGTAAGATATTCCTAGCTTGCAATATCTATAGCTAGAGATATTAGAAATAATACATGTTTTGGTATGTTAAGTGCGATAAGTTAAATTAAATTAAAAATTTTAAGTTAGGTGATAAAGACAAAAATTAGAAGCCTAAAATTATTAGATTAAAATGTTTCTTGAGGAATCAGGTTATGCGGGCGTCCACGTCGGAGGCGTTGAATAACTAATATAAGTACTATAATTATTGTTGGTCAGCTTGGTCTTATACTCTTATTATTGCTTCCTTTAGGCTAGCTTCCCTTTTTTTCGGAATACGCCTCTGGTATGAAGAACCCAAGTGTATTACTTCTATTCCGGCCATGATTTTTGTTTGGTTTTACAATAAAATTCATTAGTTAATTTTGTACGAGTAGTACATTTCTACTACTTAAAATAACGATTTCGTGGTGAAGGTACACATCTCGTCGGACAAAAACGAGTTATGTAATATTTTTTATATAGCAAGAACAGACGATAAAATATTTAAACTGAAGTCTTCCGTCAATTATTACTACATAATTGATAGCCTCGGAGGCGGCATCACACGCAGCCTTAAGAAATCGTAAACCTATAGGTTACATGGTAGGTACATGAATCTCTATAAACACAATGTAGAACTCGATCTGGTGTTCGGACGAGTGAGTAATATTAATCTCAAATAATATATATATTAAATACGCTTGAAAGACAGATAGGTATGGCAATACATCGGTATAGGTCACGTTCTCCGGTGACCATATATGTATAGTATATTTATATTTATGGCATATATGATACCTATTAGTCTCACTACATCGTTATTTTTTCCTACATAATAATAGACTTTACAATTTTGTCGATTTCGGTCGGTCAGCTGTCCTGACACGATATATTTAAATATATAGGTACCTAACGATATAATATAATATACGATATATGCATATTGTATGTAGAAACGCCACACACGATACCTTCGGAGCGATTCGATTCATTATTTTCCCGGTCGTTTTCACTTTTCACTGAACGAATTGCACACACTCGTAGGTACACCGGACTGCAAGCGTATATGATACCACAACACCGGTGAGGTATAACAATAACTACGAAATCTATAACCGTGGTTGGTCGCGAGTCCGACGCGGTCGACGGACTCCGCGGGCGCGATTAGGACGCCGATGAGTCCTGTACATCCGCCGAAGAGCGTTGAATTGTATACCCGGGTATTAAACTATTATTATAACACATAACCGCGACCGCCGCGAGCCGACCGCACGGTATACTACGCCAGGACGACGCGGCGGCGGTTTATCGCGACGGAAAAAGTCAGAGGCGGCGGCTTTGGCCGGCGACGGGTTGCGGTGGTTGGTCGGAGTTTGCGGTTAACCGCAGCCAATCATTTCGGCGAAATATCGCGTAGAGTGCTTTTTTCCGCCTCACCCGCACCCGCCGCCGCGACGATCGTCACCGCAACGGGGGCGGCGGGCAAACCGCAACCGCGACGGTGTCGATTCGCGGCGGGCAGGGCGTGCGGCGGACCGCGAGAGAGGCGTATCCTCGAACGACGCCGACAGCGGGCCCGGCGCTCGCGTGTGTGTGTGTGTGTTCGTTCGCCGCCCCCCCCCTCCCACATCCAATCGTCAAGGTACGACGTGGTTGATGATTGTTTTACGTGTACCCGCACATAGGTGCACCGTGTGTACAATATTATAATGCTTGTATATTTTTTAATCTATTGTATTACATGACACAATAATTTATTCGGATTAATTGTTATTGACTGTTGCAGGTGAGCTGATTCGCCCGATAAAATAGTTATAATTACATCATATGGGTTATAGAGATCGTCATCATTGGTCATAAATCGTACACCCTTCACGCATCCAGCCAAACCGCGGTTTCCTGTCTCGCCGTATCCCCCACACGGCCATGTCGTCGTAAAGCTGCACGAAAAACACGAATCACGAATCTCGTTATTTTTCTCTTTCGTACAAAACTACTAAGTATGAGTGCCTTTCTATTCTAGTATTGATGATGTATTCATATCAGAAGCTATCTCTACTTCAATATTATATTATCGCCAGGTTTTTCGAATATAATAATATGTATATAATATATTATATTATTATACACAGTATTTGCATACTATTATTTAATGTATAATCATCTGAGATCTGGATACTTAATATGATGTTGTATGCTAACCAACGGTGTGCTTAATGCTTACATTATGATATAATATGTTCCCATACATTATTCGCAACACATTCTAATACCCTTCTACATACTCTGTGGCACTATGACATATTTTAAATAATGAATTTGGGTACCAGATATAGTGGCCCAAACCCCACAAAAAAAACAAAACATTTTTAGTGGGCATGATTAGGCAACTCTACAGGTATCTTATGATTCGTCAACACATGAGACATAAGACTCTACACATACCTAATATACATATACGTCGCTTACGTGAGTGCGAGGAAAATGGATGTTTTTTTTTTTGTATATTTTTTTTGTTGTGTTTTTGGAAATATCAGCGACATCTCGTGAAAGGCGTTCGAATTTAACTTTTTCCACGTCGCGAAAGAGGGCGGAGAAAAAGCGGGTAAGAAAACTCTAAGAAAAACGAAGGGCACGATTTTCTTTGGCGAGCTTGCCGACAAAGAAACTACCGAGGGCGGTAAAAACTGTACAGCGCCGCACCCTTTTCCGTCAGATAGAGCTGCGATATTATATATACCGGCACCGTCGACGTTATTTTTCCAACGACTTCGTAAACAGCGATTTATAAGTGACGATTTCATGACTGATAGTATCGTAATAAATATAATAATATATTATATGATATTATCATTTATTATCATTCATCATTATACCGTGAAAAATATGGATTCGAATCACAAAACTATAATACAAGTAATACTGTAGAAATTTCATAATCTATTGAACATGATATTACACAAATTATAACAATTGGATAAGAATATATAAGATAAGTATATAACTAGTAACTAGTAAGTATAAGAGCCGCTCGATCAAAAAGTATAGAACTATCCTCTGATTATATTATGTTAATCAAAATAATTAGTTAAGATAAAGTATAACTAGATATGACGTTATTAACAAGTTAGAAAAGCTCACTCTCCAACCGTGCTAAATTATTGTATACTTTACTTTAAATCATTATATTTTAGTACAATAGTTCCAAATAAAATGTAAAAAGAATTTGTTAACCTTAATATTTTGGTAATATAGTTTAGTTAGTTTGAGTCTATATTAAATACTTATAAGTTCAATCGTAATTAAATGTCTTAATACAAACAACAGTAACTATGTAAAGTTACTATACTTACAATAATGAATAAATATCTTATCAAAAATCGTAACTATGTTTTGGTAATTAATAATTATTAACGGACAAAAAAATCCTAAGCATCTCTATGTTTCAAATAACTATTGATATAACTTTTATTGAAAACGATCCAGTAGTGTTTGAGTGTTGAGTCTATAGACTAATCGACTTAATATATTAACTTAGGATGAAGCAACATCCATTTTTAGCTGCATAACCCGACTTCATCAGTGAAAAAAAATAAAAAATATAGCGCTTTTATGCACCTCTGCAGTTCAAGGGCTAATTTACGTTAGTAGTTACTCTAATTTTCGCTTTGTGAACTAATTTGATCGAGATTAACAATCGGCCTACGGTGGATTGGATGTATGACACTTGTCTTGTCACTGACTTGCTTCAAACAACTCTCTACATTTTCTTGATATCTCCAAGAACGATATGAAATTTTAACAAAATCGGTTAGGTATTTTTCGAGTACCTATATAACCTACAAACATACATTCAACTCTTATATGTTTTAAGACATAATTTCTTTACACGCGATGATATGATGCATGATTTTGCCTCATCTGCTAGAATACCAATTGCAACAAATACTATGAAAATCCTGTTTTAAATTTGGAATAAAAATACTTAGAGCCATTTATCGAAATAACAACTATTCTGTCTCTCAAGTTGCACCAAGCACGAGACATTAACATTTCATTAAAATCGGTTTAGTGGTTACCGAGATTAAAGCGTGTGTGAACATCATGGTATACAAGAAATATATAATAAAATATGTAAAGATGGATAATATTTGATACTATAAGTGTAATTTTGAAATTTCTAAGTTATTCATCATTAAATCATTGATGCTGATTGCTAAAATGCTGTTGATCATGAAATGTCTTAAAACTATTTACAATTCTTATTGAATTTGTTACACCTATTTAATGGTGTAACATATTTTATAAAATAACATGCAATTAACACGCTAAATACTTTTATTTTTAATTGCTATCTGTTAGTGGTGCTGGGGAGGGGGGGCGTGTACGGATATTGTTACTCCAACAATAACATTTTTGAATGTCAAAATACTCACTAGACACTGCCTATATAGTACACAATGACAAAGTGTCACAATATTTTATATATTATGCCATCAATATAAGTAAATAGTAAATTCTATAAAAAAGAGACTATAATTCACAATACTGCTTCATTATAGGCGACTATTTTACTGAGGTCTAACTTTGATTTCTCAAATTCATCTGTACCTACATGCATAATATAATACAGTCATAAAGCGGTAGGTTAGGTATACTCATAAATAATATTATAATAACATGTAAATACAACAATTTCTAAACAACGTTATTGCCATAATAGTAAAAAGTTGAAAAAGAGTAAGTATAGTGTATACCTCCATATAAATAACTATGTGTACATGTATATCATTAGGTACTAGGAATAACCTGTAATGTAACGTCTTACCGTGAATCGTAATCCTTGGTAATATCGGGCTATGCGTTTCGCCGAGCTGGAAACGATGATGTTCGCAAATAAATTCCATCTGAATATCGTCGCATCGCACACCATCACGACTTTATACAAATTGCAAACCCGTGGTCGACAATGCAAAAACGATTTCGTCGAAAACCAGACGTAGAAAAATTCTGGTGACCATCGCTTTTTCTTCCATGACTGACCGATCAACGACGGAAAATATCACGGTTATCCGATCAATGGTATATCAATTAGGTATATACAGAGTGGACCGTGGTCACCGAGATTAAACTGAGGTCAATGTAGAAGATTTATATTATACCATACACGTCCATAACCGAAGTAATGTTAATTTTATTGTTACTTACGTATGGTTAGGTGATGATGCGTATGAGTGATATTTTCTGTTTCTCAGTCATAAGCCAGGACTATACAACAACAACAAAAAGTAATTTCAAATACATTGTTCTATGGAATAACTTTAAAAATAAAGGTTCTAAGTTTACTAAAATGTAACAATGTTTTGTAAAACAGTTTTAGATTATTATAATTATTTTTTCTCTCATCTTACTATACAGAATTTACATTACTACAATAAGATATTTTTAATATGCGACATCTGGTAAACATGTAAAATGTTCAAACCTACATTATTAGGTATACAATTTTTGTTTGGTATGCAAATAAAGATTTAAGATTATTAGAAAGTAACATGAAAAATTACAAGTTAAGATAGCTTACTTTGCGAGGGTACTAAATTCCGGTTTTTAAAGGTATTTTTATACAATTCAATGAACAATAATAATTCTAAGTACAAATTTAAACAGAATTTGATAACCTAATATTTTGTTAGTATATTTTGGCGAGTAAGAATCAATAAGTAATAATTATCCTAATAAGTATCAACAATCGTAATTAAATATCTTAATATGAACAATCGTAACTATGTACAGGTAACTAACGGACGGACATAACGGGGGTATAAGGTGTTCTAAACTTTACTAACGTTTAGAAACCTAATGAAGAACATAAAGGACGTAAAGAATATTATGTATACGTAAGTACAATATTAGATAATAATAAAATGTAAAATACAAATGATTTATTGAAAAATAACACCTTTTATAATATTATTAAGTTTATGTATAAGTAGTGTTTTTAGTAATTTATTATTTTAAAATTTGTTTTTAATGATGGATTAGTATAATATTTATATAACAATAATAATAATTCACATGGATTTTCAATAATATGTTTTGCCGTCTTGGTTATGTTATACTCAGTAGGTAGGAACATAATATTACAATATGTATGTCTTATCATTATGCCATTCGGGATAAATTATTTTTTAATTTTTTTTTAAGTAGTTTATTTACACTTTCATTGTACTTATACTTAAATAGTCAAATAGTTAAATGTATCTTTCGAAAGTTTCACAAGTACGATTTCCTCGCATCGTTTAGAATCTAATATTTA